TGCTACTACGACTACTACTGCTACGACGACTACTACTGCTACTACGACTACTACTGCTACTGCTACTACTACTGCTACTACTACTACTACTACTACCACCACTACTAACACTACTAACACTACTACTACTACCACCACCACCACCACAACCACCACCACCACCACCACCACCACCACCACCACCACCAAACCAGCCACCTGGGGAGACATTTGGAACACCACAGAACAGGGCATCTTCTTTACACTGGATCTTTCCTTTGGCGACACTCCGCCGACATTGGACGAAACCCAACCACAGGAGGTTCTGTCGCAGAGACTTTGCATGCAGCGTCGATGTCGGATGGAGGACCTGATGCAACTCTGCGAGCTACTGCCGCTCGATCGTGCCCCGAAGCGACGGAAGCTTTCCACTTCAGATGGGGATACTGGGCTGCTGCAGCGTACTTTTTCGGTTGGTGCATTTGCCATTGCATGGCGGTGGTATCGTGGGGGTACAGCATAATACCTACAGCTTTCCTTGGACCACACGCCTTTTAACCGCTCTGGTTAACGGTATTGATCCTCGACATCAGTACAGCAGCTGCACTCTTCTCTTGAACGTCCTCCATTACAAACACCAGGATCACTCGAACGAGCCAGGAACCATGAACCTGCTCATACCGTGCAGCCGGTGGCAAGGTGGTCAGGTCTGGATGGCTGATTCTACTGGATCGGTGCACCTGGACATGCACTCGGGACCCGGTGTTCTTCGGGTCATTGAGCCTCCGGGCATTAAGCTTGACCAACATGTGGCACACGCCACTTTTCCGTGGCATGCTGGTCACAGGCTGCTGGTGGTGGCGCATCACGCTCGTGGTATTGGTCGCCTCTCAGTCAGGGAGCGTGGCCATTTGGAGTGGGCGGGCTTCTACTTACGTGAATCTTGATGCTACGTGCCTCTTTACGGCAGACTGGATCGCATGCATGGCGCTCGCTTTACTTTTTCTACCACGGCTTTTGTACTCGTGAGCTCGTGACGCGAGTGGTAGCTTGTCGCTACTATTCGCTTCACAGACTGGTCTTGATCTCACTCGTGATGGAGGCCGCGATGTAGACTCCGTCTAGCTCCCGGCCGATGTCAATTTGTTGGGTGCATTGGTCCTCTTTCGTACGGGAATGTGGCGGGATTAGGCAAGGGCCTTAGCTTTCGGGCTTCGGATGTACAGTGCCTATCCTGCTCTCTACGTGAGGTGCTGTCTGTCTGCAGTATGTCTCTGGCCGTTCGCGGCGTGGCATGCTGTCTGTCTTTTGAAGGACGGTGCACTATGTGCGTCGCCACTGGCGACCAGGTTGGAAACCTGACCACATATCCTGTCGCACAGCCTGGACCTCCTTGGCGGCGTGTAAAACGAAAACGAAACCACCACCACCACCACCACGACTACTACTACTACTACTACTACTACTACTTCCACAGTCACGTCACTGCGACGCTATAAGCTTGATTAGTGTTACTCGTGCAAGTACCATTACTAGTATTACCAGAGCCGGCTGTTTTGCTGTGGCTTTGGAACTAGACTTGATAGCCTGAGCGGGCTTTGCCAGGATCCGGCAAAGCTCCGGGACCTCGCTGCAGCCGGGCGATGATGCCTTTGGCAATGTGCGTTTGCGGGTCTAGTTTAGGGGGAGAGTTTAGGAATTCTGGATCCTGCATGCGTGAGAAAGTTGTGAAGAACAACCCACTTGCACGGCTGCTGCTGAGTGCACTTTTGATGTCATCATCAGTGGTTACTAGTTTGGAGGCGGACGACAAGTACAACCTGTCCCAAAGTTCCATTCTAAGCACTTGAGCCCCTGCAATAATCTTCCTGCCCAGGCAGAAAAGGGTGTTCAAGGCCGGCAAGCATTGCAGAGAGAGAGAGAGAGCTTCGGGTTTAGGTGGCCTTGAGTTTCAGCGTGTGCGCACTTCAGCTTCGAGGGGTTTGCCCTAGGCAGGGACCCCAACTCTTCGGAGGGGTGGGGACGGATTCAGGCAGCCATCCGAGGCTGGAGGAGCCGTGTACACGTAATGTAGAAGCCTAAATGATTACCAATATTACTGCTAGGGTTCCTTATTATCGAGATACGAAACCCTATTCCAATTATTAAGGCTCCTACAGTAACTGTGCAGATGTGAATGCATTTATAATCAAAACGTGTTCAGGCATGTACTGCAGATGCGCGCACGCCTGAACCCCATGGAAGCATTTTCGTAACGGGCACTGCTACCATGACGAAGCCGTTAACGCCCGACAAAGTACGGACTGGCCAGCATGGCAAGCCTACTCGACTACACTTTCCACCACTTCGAACTAGTATGGATACATGCATGCGTCGTCGTGTTGGCAGCCGATCGTCGCTGCAGTGGTGGTAGTAGCAGCAGCAGTAGTGACAAGAAAACTGAAATCGGTGCTAATCGCAAATATTTAGCCGGGATCATAATGGGGGAGAGAGTACTTGTCACGGCTGTGGCAGCTTCAGTAGACAGGGGAGGTGGTGCAGGCATAAGTAGCAAACGATGCTCAACCCCTCTCGTCAAAACACGCCCAAATCCAGGAAAGGGCAACTGGGAGCAGCTCATTATGGACGCCTCGATGCAAGAGGTTCAGATTACACTAAGCCCTGAACCCTAAGGGTCAGTTGGCAAGGCTTTCTCGCCTTTCGGCTTCAAGCCGCGTGGGGCGCTGTTCACTGCTAGTGACATCCGAGGAAACAGCGCTAAACATGATCCCTAAACCCTGAACTCTCAACCCCAGGGTTTAGGGTTTGGGGTTTAGGGCCAAAATCCCAAATATGGGGACTTGAAGCATACTTTGGAAAAGAGGAGTTCGGAAGCAGATGAAACTAGGGTTTCAAAGGATCTGTGCATGGCCTGGCACAGGAATGATGGTACTATGTCACTATGTATTGAAGTGTGTAGGTTCAACTTTGCGGCGTGAAAGATTGATCATTGTTCTTGCTGTTCAGTCCGCTGCTGTGGCCCTGGTTATTGGGTTTCGAGCACACCAAACGCCAAACCCTCCGCCAGCCCCAACCCACAATTGTTCCCACAATTGTTCTGCGAACTCCTAAACCTTACGCCCCAGAAAACTTAATAGGACTACAGGGGGATATTACGACTAATTGTTGGGAGCCACATATTCTACCCTAAACCCCAAATCATTTCCTGGTCTGAGGAATGCCTGGATACCTACGACACGCCGGAGAGCTTCCAGGGGTGGAGAGTCTACAAGGGCGTCAGGGCTGTGTTAGGGTCATGGGTCTTTTCGGATTCAGCGTTAGGCATCTATAACTGTGGGGCGTTTACATTTTGGGTGTTCAGAGATTTACGGCTTGAGGGTGTAGGCTCAAGGGCTTAAGGGGTTCAGGGTTGCGCTCTTAGGGCTGCACGTCTCTTGCACACGCATTTGCAAAAGCAACTTGAGCACAGTCAAAGTAGTCTTACTGTCCTTACGAGGGTTGTACTAAGGAGGAGGACAGGAAAGCTTGGAGTTTCAGGAACAGCAACAACATCTGAAAGATAGATACACTGCTTCGTGCATGCGCAGGAGAACTTCCGCTTCTTCCGTCGCCACTCGGGGCTGCTGGGACACGACATCGCACACGTTGGTAATCCAGATGCGACCTGGCTCGTGGACTTCAGGGCTTTGGGGTTGAGGGCGGTAGACTTACACATCGGGTCTTGCGTCCAGCAAAAGTTCTCGGTCAAGTTGGGTTTGGGATAGTGGGGCATCTGCACATTTCTGATTTCTGCCCCTAGGTGGCCACTGGGCCGGCAAACCGAGAGTGGTTCTGTTGGCATCGGCTTAGAGATGGTTGCGAGTTCCGCTCAAAAAGTGGGTCCGTGATACAGACATGCCCAAACAAACGACACGACAAGGGCGGACAAACAGTCACAGACCGGCAGAAATGAGTCGACGACAAAGGGCGGCTTACAAGCAGACTGGGGTACAGACCGAGGCCGACACCCAGAGACAGACAGACCGACAAACAAACAGCCAGACAGCCAGACAGACAGAACAACAAACAAACGGATCAGAGAGGGAGAGAGAACCACCCAAACACACAAGCATTACAAGCACTGTCACACATGCATACTCCACTCACCTCTGAAGCCTTAAAGCATGCACCAAAACGGATGCAGTGTTTGTTTCAAGCGTCACATCGAAACCTCCAATCTCCACACTGCACTTTGCATGATTACAGGCGGTGGTGACTCTGGGAAAAACCAGAGACACCCTTGAAATCAAGTGAAGACATTCATTAGAGCTCCAGGCACTGCCCAAGCAGGTCCCAGGCGATATTGGTAAAGCCGCCAGTGCGCTACATGTAGATGGTTCGTTTCGTCATTATTACTATGCACCATCCAACAAAGCTGGCACTTTTCGGACAGCTTGCATGCCCAGTGGCTGGAAATGTGCATGCCCCCCACCCACTCCATGAGCTTCGATATGCGATGTCGCCGCTTGGTATGTCATGTTCGCACGGCCGCAGCACCAGAAAGCCAGTGACCAACCAGCAAGGCCCAGACAAGCAGCACGATTCACCAGCTTCATTCCAGCTTAGTACGTCAGTAGCCGAGGTGTGCACCGCAGCCGGTCACAGCTTCTTCTGGGGCATGCTCGTCTTCCGTTTGGAGCAAGCCCCAGGCTGCGAGCTTGAGGTTGTTCAGTTTCCGTCTTCCTCGTGTCATGACTGCGACCGACCGTTAGTGTGAGTCGTCGTGACCGTCTTGAAGTCGCCATAGCAACACCGCAGTCGCAGTACTGGTCGTGGTGGTGGTAGTGGTGCTAGTTGAAGCAGTAGGTCGTCGAAGGCGCAGTCGCAGTAGTTGTCGCCGACGCGGTTGCCAATGTAGTCGTAGTGGTAGTAGTCGTCGTCGTGCTGGTAGTGCTAGTGATAGTGCTACTGCTAGTGCTAGTGGCAATGTAGTGGTAGTAGTAGTCGTCGTCGTAATTGTAGTAGCAACAGCAGGAGTATAA